TCAGGTCTGTGCCAAGAGTCAATTAAATAATTGTGGAGGTTTGCGGAGGTGCACAAGAACGAGTAGACTAGTGAAAAGGGCATGCACTAGACTTAAAGGCCCCCGGAATGCTTCAAACATGCTTGTTGGATTATCAAACCAAGTCTGAACCCCCTTTTTATCTAGAAAGTGGTAATCCGACAAGTTTTATGACTTTCCAAAAATAATCCCAAAATTATGCAGAGTCCCTGAGGTATAAAAGTAGACATGGTCCTCATGTTTTACAGTTTCTATTTTTTTTATTCTTCACACAACTACGTTGATCCCTTTATGCGTGAACCGTCTGAAACAGTGAATGCCTTTGAGGAAAGACTGTCCCCCTTTTGCCCCTTTCCATGATAGCATAGTCATTGAGAATCAGAGCTTTCGCTCTGTGTTGCACCCTTTGGAACCGAGATAAAACATTCATCTCAACGTTTTTACGGACACAGCAATATTCTCACTCTACAACCAAACCAAAGCTTTATGAAGGGCAGCTTGTTATGTCACATGACTCAGAACTTGCTGAATTCTGTGTTTTTGCTACAGGCCCACTTTCATTTCTTTTCTTGTTGGCTCTGTTTGCAATGCTGGGAAATGTAACCCTCCAGTTGACACATCTTTTATTTGTTACCAATATTGAATAAAAGATAATGGAAGTAAATTCATCTGTTTTTTTATCATGTATCATTACAAATAGGAAGTGTTTTTAAAATAGCAGATAAACACAGTGATAAAAAATGAATCAGATACATAAATATTTTGATGCATCAAGATGAATCGATAATTGCATATAATCACATCGTAGCCCTCTGAATCTGAATAGAATCGTAGAGGTGCCTAGAGGTTCCCACCCCTAGTGGTCCACAACGCGACACTTGAAACACACCAAGACCGTAAATCTCGGGTGGTCGTCAAGAATGCTTAACATGTTACACATAGGACACAGAAAGTTGGATATTAGACTTAATACAAAAATGCATCAGGTAGCATGACCACAACACAACAGGTTGAACACCACACACACAAGAGAGGACCTGTCCATTTCCATCTAGTTCTATCCTCTCCCCTCATCCTTCCTTTATTAACTCACCCCTCACGCAAAGAAAGACGTGCATTGCGCGCTGTAACACTAGGATACATTGACACACAAACACTAACCAATCAGGATTGCAAAATAATTTTCGTTCACGTTGGCCCTGCCAAGGAAAAAGGGATGCCACTGCAACCTCGACTGGGTCACTAAGATAACACCTGCGCTCCCAGTCCCACCTTAATGATCACTCGATGCAATGGGAGCACTTTAATGGGGGCTCTGGAAGGAGGGAAGGAAGGAAGCTGCCAGCTTGCTAATTTTAGGCACTCTGCATCTCAGATGAAACGCTGGAAAAGGCAGAGAGGAGGCGTGGAGAGGCGGGGAAAGTTCTCCGTCTCTCACTTTCTCGACTTTTTGCATCATGTCTTTCTAACTATCATTACCCTCTGCATCCACTATGAGAAAGAGTCTCACAGCTCTTTGATTCTCTGAATCCTTTCTCCCTCTCTTCCTGTTCCCAGCCCTCCCGCTCTCGCTCTCTCTTCCCGGCTTTCTCTGTCTTTCTCCCCCTTTCATTCATTCTCACCTCCCTCCCCTTCTTTCGGTACCCGAGTAAATAAACAGTGTTGTGTGGGATGCTAATTAGAGCAGGTTGAGGGACGTGACGAGCCCAGAGACGGATAAACAGCAAAGTGAGGGAGGAGAAGAGATGAGATGGGGGGGTGGAGGTGGAGGTAACCCACCCCAAGGGCAACACGGTGCAGACACAAACACGTCAGCTTAGCGGTGAAGGACGTACAAGAGTGGTTTTGGCTTTCAAGCCAAGTTAGGGCGGCTTTGAAGCGAAGGGCGGCAGCAGGGTAGAGGATTTTAAAGGGGCTGCGATGGAGTGAAGGGCACTAGCAGAGAAGGGGGCACATGGAGGAGCTTCAGCCACGATTAGAGGAAGAGGGAGCATCGAGCGAACTTCCTTAATGACGGATGCTCCAAGAGACCCGGTGCGAGATCAAAAGAATATGCAGATGATCCTAACCGTTCTTCCGTTGAGGTGAGCCTGAGTTTCCAAAAGCAGGTCAATGTGAGGCAGCTTTACTTAGTTAACATAAGATGGCCTTTCTAGGGGGGGGGGATAAGCTGCTGGATATGCAGGTACAAAGGTAACGGGCAACACAAACAAACATGTACGCTTGCACTTGGTGGTAACCTATTGTAACCGGGCGGCAACCTCCGGCTCTGCCGAGTGAGGCCAATGCTGTAGTGTCTTAAAGTTGCATTCTCTCTTATGTCCATCAGGGGGCGACTCCTCTGGTTACAAAAAGAAGTCTGGTTGTATAGAAGTCTATGAGAAAATGACTCTACTTCTCTCTTGATTTATTACCTCAGTAAACATTGTAAACATGAGTTTATGGTCTCAGTCTCTAGTTTCAAGTCTTCTTCAATACAGCATGATGTTCATTTAGTACATTATGGTCCAGTTTGGAGTATGCTTTAGCTTACTGTGATTGACAGGTCGCTGGCGCTATCAGAGCCGTATACGGTGTCTCAACGTCACTCCTCCACATTCCAAATATGGTCACTTCGGATTATCGGTGGCAAAAAACAACATGGAGACAGTCGTAATCCAAGATGGCGACGGCAAAATCAGGGCTTCATAACGGCAGTCCTCAAACCGATGTGTGACGTCATGATGACTACGGTCACTTCTTATATACAGTCTATGATTGTAACACTGCACTGTCAAAGCAAAGAATAGATTTGCAACAGGCCACAAAATGATCCTTTGTACATTAATGACTCACCGTGTTACCTTAAATTCTTGAACAACATTTTCTTGAATGCCACGATGAACGAAAGATCAGATAATAGAGACATGTCTTGATGAATTAAAGTAAATGAGGGTTGTGTTTTGAGGAAGTTTGTTAAATAGACATGCAAGAAAAACAAGTTTCTTCACCAATTCTAAGTAACACGGGGTGAGTAATTGATATTTAAATAGTCATGTTGAGGGCAAAGTATTCCTTTAATGGTATTATCTTATACAATAAATCATGGGCAACATTAAACGTGACATTGCAACAGAACTGCACACTTGAAACTTGGATTTAAGATACAAATATGAGGACTTGAAACCTGTAGCTTTATTTCACAGCAAGAAGTCAACAATCCGTATCCCGGGACTTCCCATAACCTGCATCTTTAAGAACTTTATGAGGCTTTGGTACGACACTCCTCCTTGTATATGCATTGCATTTTTTAAAGTGGGACACTTTAGATGCGCTTCAATGAGAAGGCGAGAGTGCAGACATCATGTTTGTACGCGGTTGCGTAGGGGAGCGAGGTAATCGTGTCATTTTAAGTGTCCGAATTCAGAGACCTGAAAGACCTGCGGCTGACTTGCACTTTGCTTCTTCTGACATGACTTGAAATTTTGACTTGGACTCAAATACCTTGAAACTTAAATCTGCTCCAAGAGACTCTTCCAACTGAAATCAGCCATGCGTTAAACCAGGCGACGGATGAAATACAGTCCAGGTGCAGTTTAATAGACCCTGAATGTGAAGGCCAGCGTTACATCCCCCCCTAATCACCGTTGTTGAACACCTTAAACTCTGTGGAACGCTTACTGCCATTTATAATCATTTGTATTGTAATTATTGTTTCTGCAGATCTTTAGTAGCCCGAGCTGCTCCAGTGGAGTGGCTCAGTGGTCGACAGTGCTGCGCTTGTATAAAGAGCTCCCGGGGGTGACTAGGTGTTTAACTGTGAATGTAAAACAAGGCTTTACTGGAAAAAACAGCACAAAAGCTCAATCACATTTCTTTCCCGCCCAAACAAAGTCTTCCGAAGAGAATTGGGTTTTCATCTTTCAAAGCAGCTTCGTGAAGATTTGGTGAATCCTTAATGTGTCTGTCTGTCTGTCTGTCTGTCTCCGTCTTTGTCTAGAGTCCATAAATTGAGCATCTGTTCATGTGTCTTTGTTGAGTTATTAAAACCGTAGGAAACGCTGTCTGGCTGGATCAAAGCCGGCCTTGGACTGTAATGATCACTGATGCTGCTGTTAAATGAACCAGACGGGAGCGCTGTTGACTCTATTGGGGAGGGGGGGTCTTACTCCACTGGCTGAGGTGGACCAGGTACAGGAGAGGAGAGGAGTTCCGGGGAAAAAACCTCAGCAAGGCACAACGTTAAAAGAATCGTGTAAACACCGTCTTTAATGTTATTCAGAGATGTTTTATGATTAAAAGACATCTTATGATCCCGGATTACGGGCTGATTGGTAATGACAGGTGCTGGGGGGGGGGGGGGGCCTTGCCGTTACAAGGGCTTGCGTAAGCTTTTAATCTCACGTTAAGTCCAAAGCACACACTGATGGAGAGACAGAGGGGAGAGGGGAAGGTAGAGTGGATCACGATACATATCTAAGAGATTGCGGAGGAGAGGGGGAAATGGAGGGAAATGTGATGGCTGGATAGATGAGCTATTTTTATAATGAGGTCAGTGTGAGCTGTGGGATTTCATTCTCCTGGGAGACACACAGACACACACACACACACACACACACACACACACACACACACACACACACA